GCGTATGCAAGCATGAGCAAGTGTGTGTGCAAGCTTGTGCAGGTGCCTACAAGCACATGCATGTTGTGTAAGTGCATGCACACATGCATGCATGTTCAAGGGTGTGCAGGCACATGTGTGTGCAGGCACATGCACGCGCTGCAGATGTGCACACGAGCACATGCAAGAGCATGCACAGACACGTGCAGCTCTGTGCCTGTGTTGCCAGCCTGTGCTGCAGCTGCACGTGTGTGCACGCAGGTACACGAACGCACATGCTCACAAGCACCCACATGCAAGTCTCTGCACGCAGGCACGTGCAAGCGTGTCCCAGCAGCAGCCGCTGGAGGGGTTCAGTGCCCAGGGTGGGCACCCAGGGGGGTCTCGGCATCCCCCCACCACGCTCCGGCTGCTCCTCTCCAGCGCCTGGGTTTATTTTTAATCCCATCGAGCCCCGGGTGATTCACGCACTGCCGCCCGCTCCGCGCTCACCAAAATAGATGTTCTGGGGAGAACGGACCACACGAGGAGGGGTCTGTGCCACCTCCTGCCACTGCAGGAACGGCCGTGCAGACACGGAGCAAACACCGGGTCTAAAGCACCAGAGGCCAGCCCAGGAGGTAAAGCTGCTGCTCCACAGATCCCTGAGGCCTTTGTAGTGCCGAGTGATGCTTCCCAAAGCGGAGGGAGCCCAGAAGACGCCATGGGGATGCTGCGGGGCAGTGATGGGGCAAAGGGCAGAGCACAGGATGTCCTCATGGAGCGAGGAGCTTCTGATCGGTGTTTGACGGTGCCAGCACTAGTCACACTGGTCTTTGGGAGCGCTTTAGGACTCAGAACCACATCAAATCATGATTATGATTATTATTACTTAGGTCTTTTGGGTCACACAATCCAACAGGACTGCCAGGCGGCACGTTGACTCTCCCGGCTCCCACCACGGTGCCTCAAGCACAAGATCAGGACAATATTCATGATCAAAAAAACCCAGGAAAGGGACACAAATTCCCCACTGAGACTTGGGGGAAGCAGAGGAGCATCTTCCCTCAGGAACCAGGGAAAATATCCCCTCTTCCCAAAACCTGGCTAAAGTTCCCTGCTCCGTGGTGGTTGGGCTTCACAACCTACCCTCCGGCCCTATTTAAGATGTATCACTTCAGAGGAGCAGCATTTGGGCATCCTTTTGCAAGAGGGTGAAGACATGCAAGACTTGAGAATTATCAGTATTTTTGGTGCCAAGTTTTAAAATTTATTTCTAAAGGTCAATTTTTTAAATTAAAAATTTCATTTTTATAGTTAAAATCTTTTTTTTTTAAAGTCCAACAGCATTTTAAATTAAAGTTCAGCAGCAAAAGGTTTCCTGCCAGAGCAGCAGATCTCACACACTTAAGCCCAAAACACTCTTCCCAAGAGATTCCCTGCTCTGAGCCGAATGTGGTTCCCAACCAGCTGAGGACAAGAGCCATGACTCCAGCTCCATGGGACAACGGTCTCTTCTCTAAGGAGCCAATATCCAAACCAAACCTCTCTGGGATGTAGGAGACCTGGAGCTGAGCTCCCCAGCTGAGAACAAGAGGACAACTGGCCAAATCCTGAGCAGAGGATGTCCTGGTGGAGGTTAAGGTGAACGCCCCCACTCTCTTGTCACCTTCTCTCTGCAGGGTGGGAAGCTGTGACAGCAGCAGGGACTAAAGGACAGTTTATCCAGCAGGCACCCAGCACGCTCCGGAGCAATGGGATGATGTTTCCCCACTGGCATCTCTGGAGCAAGCACCTACACATCTCCTGCCAATAACCCTTGCACGGTTTTAAATCCCAGCTGAGCATGAAAAAGCACTTTTTTCCTCTTCGGGTCATTTATTTATAGATTTAAAGAAATAAAAATAGAAAAAAAAAGTAAAGGAAAAGAAGTGTTCATTGCAACAAAGCGAGAGCAGAAGCTGGGGCAGGAGGGGCCAAGCCAAGCCAGCAGCTCTCGAGACAGAACCATCATTCCTCCGGTGTGTGCAGTGAGGGCAGTGGGACTCATGCCTCAAAAACCACCAAATTCGTTTTCACAGTATCCAACATAGAGCGGCTCCGCCTGGATCCCACGCCTGGGAAGAGAGCAGAGAGAGGGCATCACAACACAGGAGGGACCTGGAGCTGCTGGGAGTGAGCCCAGAGGAGGCCACGGAGCTGCTGTGAGGGCTGGAGCAGCTCTGCTCTGGAGCCAGGCTGAGAGAGGCTGCCCAGAGAAGCTGTGGCTGCCCCATCCCTGGCAGTGTTCA